AGCCCATCATGTGCAGTGGTTCCCACATGCTCTCATGCTCTGAAAATGCCTTCCCTGTCTTCTACTGAAGGTGAAATTTCTCCTCCCTGACATTAGTGGGGCTCCGACTGCTCTGAAGCCAACGCACATACACACTCACTTCTGCATAACGAATAGGCATGGCAGAGAGGAGCCGGGACAGGTGGTCAAGCCATCTCCATCCCATGGGGATTCTGAGGGTTCCCAGGTGACAAGTGACAACGTGATGGAGCCAAGCATGCAGACCTTGTATTTAGTGCCTGATCCCCAGCAACGCTGGTGTGAGCTGGCCAGGAACTTTACTGGAGACTGTGTCAGACTTTAAAGAAGATGAAGCAATGTTACCAATATTGACAGGCAGCTGGCAGACCTCTGCTGTGCCCACTCTCTGTCAGGAACAGCCAGCTCTGTTCCACTAAATCCTCTCTAAATGTACTCCACTTGCGTGCAATTTTTAAGGCTCCATTGGCCAACGGGAATCTTAGTTCTTCCCTCCCAGATCTGCACCCTTTTCCTGGAAATCCCAATGTCAGGGCCTGTCCTGCAGCTCCATCATTTGCCCATCCCTGTGCAAACATCGCTGGTACTTTGTCATACAAAATTTCAACATGAGACCCTGTAAGACAAACTATGCCACTTGAACCCACTTGTTGTCCCACCGTAATCTCATTCCGTTTCATGGATGAGTAAACTTCTCAGGAAACAGGAGCTACTGAAGTTTCCCAGGTGCTCCAGCTCCCTCCTCTCCCTGTGTCATCTCAGCTTCTCGCAGCCTTGCCCAGCTCGGATCGGTCTGCGAGGCAGGACAACGCTGCTCCCTCTGCCAGCTTGGCTGAGAACTGATGCTCAGAGACGTGAGATGGTTTGTGCAAGATCACAAAACCAGATGTGAAGCAGGACACATACCCTGCTCTGTTTCCACGCACTACTTCTTCCCAGTGCCCATCTCTGGAGTAAGAAGCAACAGCTACCGAAAGTTGTCCTCCTCCTTCTACCTGCATTGGACAAAGAGGAATTCAAGTGTGTGGGCTGGGAAATGCAATTCCCTGCCTCAGGCAGAGCTGGGGAGCCATGAAAGACAGCAGCATGCAAGGGGGAAGAACACCAATGCCTCTACTTCCTGCTGTCCTTAGGGGC